TGCTGATTATATGCCACCGAATAAAGTGTGAGAAAAGTGTTGTTGTATACAGAATACAGAATATAGAGTACAGAATAGAGAGAATGCATTGTATTTCTCAATGCATTCTTATGATACCGTTTTGTACCGTATATTCAATATTCAATAGGAAAATATGAAAAATTCAATGCAATAAAAAACTACAAAAATTGAGTTTCGATCGGCATTTATATGCAACACAAGAATATTGAGTGAAAGTATTGAAAAAACTTTTCGACAATTTATTCATAAATATATATCTTTATGTATGTATGGAAAGTCTTAACGCATGATATATATTATTATTGGGTCTTATTATTTAAACGTCAATTCGTGTAGTATTTGTCAAAACCAAACAAATAGCGTGGAGTGTAATGGAGAGGGAGGAGTGGAGGAACGGTATTCTGTATTGATATTGTAGTGGTATTTACCTTTTGAGGCGCGTTAATGACTCCAGTGTTGTATCCAAACTGAAACATTCCCAACACAGCCTTGGAGTGTAATGGAGAGGGAGGAGTGGAGGAACGGTATTCTGTATTGATATTGTAGTGGTATTTACCTTTTGAGGCGCGTTAATGACTCCAGTGTTGTATCCAAACTGAAACATTCCCAACACAGCCGAGAATATAGCGAACACTAACATACATGTCAAGCCCTGTAATCATACCAATCAACCGGTCAATACATCACATATACAATCATTGCAAACAAATTGATGCCAACCCTACCCAACACACACTGATCATCAAACAACTCATATAAACCCGCGGGTTATACGCCATGCAAATCCCANTGTAATCATACCAATCAACCGGTCAATACATCACATATACAATCATTGCAAACAAATTGATGCCAACCCTACCCAACACACACTGATCATCAAACAACTCATATAAACCCGCGGGTTATACGCCATGCAAATCCCAGTGCAAGGCTTTTGCAACTCATCTCAATATAAGTCAAAGTGTTGTCAAAAAGGATTTTTTGATACAATTTGTCTCATAAAAAGTCATATAAATACAGAGGAGTCTCTCATTTTATAATAAATATTGTATTTCCATATTTGACGGGTTGGCCATCATTTTGTATAATAAAGTTATATTTACTTTCAAATTAAACTCTTTGCAACAAATCATTTTAAATTCAAATAATTTATCCAAATAAATTTAATACTAATACTAATAAATCACAATCAAAATGAATTCATAAATATTTTTATAATACTATTCCATAAAATAGCACTAAATTTAGTGAATTCCTATACATTGATAAGTATTGATATGAAGGGAGCATTCAAAGACATCCAAATAGCGAATGGCAGTGAATGCGGGTCTATATCTCTACTCATTATTCATATATTATATCATTATTTAGTCTCAAATCTCACCCGAGTGTCAGCCATAAATGCAATCAATGACAGGTTTCGCACATTAAACGATAAACAATTTTAATTGTTTTATTGGATTTAATAAAACTTAAATATCCAGATCAATTATATGCACACAACACAAAGCACTACATATGCGAAAACAAATGGCAAGTTATAATGATTTATCAATATTTGTTATGAATAAACACAAAATCATAAAGTAAACTCCGAAACTAGTGTTTTTTGTAAACGTGTTTATTATACGAAATATTTTTATATAAACTAAAAATAGGGTTTAAATTTCAATCCATTAAGTTATCTGAAAAATTTAGCAAAATTCAAGCGCCCGGAGCTGTGGTTCAGTCCATACAGGGATTACACCACAAGAATAGAAACTAAAATATTGATAACTTTGCAAAAATAAAATGAAACAAATTTTCTAATTAAGTGTGTCTTCAATAATAAATTAATTGGACGAAAAACTTAAGACCAAAACATAATTAATTTCTATTAAAACAGTGGTATTAATAACACAGGGAAATAGAGTAGAGGGAAAGGTATGGCAAGAATGGTAGGAATGAGTGTAATATTCTCTCCATACAAATGAGTGCAACGAAGAGATTAAAAGTGATAATAAGTTTTGTGTTTTTAATGCGATTATAATATATTAAACACAACAAAACTAATCAACTTATCATTGAGTCTAATCTGGAGCCTTACATAATATAAAAAAGTCTCATTCAATGCAATCCTTAATCATATTTGAGACCAACTCTACGCAAACATTGCTTTTAATGAGTCAATCATTTCGATGATTACATTAATTATGCAAATAATTGTCAAATGAATGGACAAAATAGTGAATCTATTATTTAAAGGCATTTAAACGCAAAATACATTTCAAACTCATCATTGATTGCACTCTCAATGCATTTGGAGTGAGATTTGAATGAATAAATCATTTGCAAGAATATGACTGTCGATGACGATGGCATCAATTAATGATAGCATCAATTGGTGGTAGGATTGCATGGATTGCAAACAACTGGAGGACACTTACTTCAGGGCAATGATGACCACTGGGACACCAGATCGGCCGACACATCACTAAAACAGACCCAATGATGGCTTCGAGTGATACACGTCTTCTCGTCTATCATACGGATCGCAGTTGTGGTCAAACCGATCGGTATTGTCGACAACAATCACATCCCGACCAATGGCTGCCAATCCGGTCACTAATCACTACAGCGATTGTATTCATAGATCCAGTGATTGACTGTTCAGTCATTATATTCACTGTTATATCGATTTAGCCGTAAATCCAAACTGTCTTTGAGTTCAATTCAACGGTCACTTCTTGCAAATGAGTGACAAATTGGTGTCAATTCATGAGTGGAGACCTATTGGAAGCAATGGTTGCATTTGCAGATACACATCGGCCACCATTTGGTGCACTCATGAGCCGCACAATCGGTGGTCAATACGGTGACAGTTGGCGGTGCGATGTATGGCGTGATGTGTTGGAAGTGATTGCAAATTGCAATCCAATGCCTGTGCGTTCACCACCAATGGATCCAATGCTGGCGATGCGATCACTCGGACTCACTGGTTGTGGTTGGCGTCCAAATGGTCGACACGGAGGTAGCGATGGATGAGTGGTGCGAATCGGCGGCCGAAGACATTCATTTGGTTTGGGTTTTGTGTGATATAATCATTATATAGTAATTGATATCCATTTGAGACACCAATCCATAGGTTTTCACTCATTTGAAGAGTGGATGAACGGAGTGAGTGTCTGAAGACATGCGCCAACACTAAGCCCTCTCTCCCTCTCTCTCTCCCGCACTCTCTCTCTCTCTCTCTCTCTCCTCCACTCATATATTCAATGCATTGAAAGCCATTGAAAAGGCATTGAAAGCCAACAATCGATTCATTGCTTTGCCATTGGATTGCAATTGACTCTCATTTGCAATGCATTTGTTATGATATTATTGTGCGGATCACCGCTAGAACTGTAATCCTAACCACAGTTGTGTCACTCGTATCATGAATTGTGTCTCACGTGTCGATAAATTAAGACTTTTCAAAGAGTTAGTCAAGTATTCAAATGAGTTGATATACACCGACAGACACTTCTACTTGAATCGAGTCCGTCAAGAGTTTCGTAAACACAGAGAGTTGACCGCCGAGGAAGACATTGACTTCTTTTATCGGGTATAATATTAGCCATTCATGTCGTGTGTATTCATTTGGTTTTCATTTGCAGAAAGGCATTGAATTTCTCAATAAAAAACGTTTAATTTAATCAAACCGTTAGTTTGTCTGAAGTGTTGTTTTGGTGGTCATTATCTTTACTTTTGGATGCGTTTGTCCGTCAAATGGACTCATTTTTGTCGCAATAAATGTCAACAATTATCACAAGAATCGCCGCAAATTGTCGTCTCATTGAATTGAATGCACCGTTAAGTCACATAATATCCCCGTTTTCGACGTCCAAGTTGTCGTTCAAACCATCAAAAGTGGACAAATCGAGAGTTCCGGTCATCAATGAGAAGGAGCTGAAGGAGGAGTTCATTCACGGCAGTGGACCCGGAGGTCAGAACGTCAACAAACTCTCCAATT